CAAGCATTTGAGTTGTAGATATCGTAGCCTAACCGTTGGAGATGTTTCGTACTTTTATTTCATGGTTGCGTGAGTAGACTTGGCTATAAACACCTATACACTCCGTGCGGGAACTATAGGGGGCGCTTTCAAAAACGCGCGCAGCGCCGCTAGCGGAGGAGCTGGCGTTCGACTGTGAGGCGCGTTCAGCAGCCTGCGGCGCCTTTTCGCATGCCAAGCTGTGGCGGCGGAAGCGCGCACGGACGAAACTTTTGCTTTTTGAGCCGATAAGTTGAGTGTGACGTTGCATGAGTGCTGGGGCAGAAGGGCATTTAGTTGTTCTCCACTTCTTATATATTGAGTTTGAGTCATTATTAGGGATAATTTCTCTAGTTGCGGCCGAAAGAGGAGTTGGAGCAATTTTCCGAAAAACGAGACGGCCGCCACCATAATTACTCTGAGTGGGACATTTATTTCGCTTGTCGCTGTAAACCTAGGACTGCTGGAACCATGATATTTGGAGGCGAGTGAGGTGTTCACTAAGTTTTTGCACGAAGAGTGCCAAGTTTCTTTAATGAAGTTCTGTTTCTAACGAATAAAGAAATAAAGCTGTACGGGATATCCAATATTGGACCCAAAATGTTGTGTTATAGCGGGCTGTGCAAAGTGCAGATTTTGGCACACAGGTGCTTGGACTTGACAGTAACATGACACAGCACTTATTATACAAAAAAAAAAAAAAAAAAAAAGGTGGCATAGGGAAATTAGGTGAAAATTTGGTTTGGGCGGCGTAACTCAATGGCAACCGGTTTTGACCATGAAAAGGCTGTCAAGAGAATACCACTGGTCGGGAGAGGTGGAGACTTTAGAGGTAGGAAGGAACTAGTGGACTGTACTTCCAATTGAAACAACTTTACGAAAGGTGGTTTCAAAGCCGAGAAAACAAAGTTGTCGGCCAACACACGGTTTGGCCGCCAAGGGCTTTTGCGGTCAGCTGTTGTGTAATAACCTGTTGTGCGAGGTGCTGATTTTCGGCGCACAGGTACTTTGACATGACCGTCACTTGGCACAACACTTATTATAACAAAAAGAGTTGGCATAGCGGAACCAGGTGGAAATTTAGTTTGGGCGGCGTAACTAAATGGGAACTGGCTTTGACCGTCAAAGGCTGTCAGATACACAGCTCATCGTGGGAGGTGCGCACTTTACAGATAGGAAGGGACCAGTGGACGGTACTTTCAGTTCGAACCACTTTGCGATAGGTGGCTCTGAAGCCGAGAGAAAAAATATGTTGTCTACAGAACTCGGGGTGTCAGCGTTTCCACATCCAAAAGGAGGCTGATCAAGAAAGAAAGCACACCACATACACTTCCATACTCAAACCTCGATTCTCCAGTGATTCCCAGTTTCATTGTTGTTTTCTTTAGATTTATATTTGTCACTTTTTTTAACGTTCAAATCTTTCTTCATGACGTACAGATTGCGTGCCATACTAGTTCGGAAATATCATCGACGCGTACGATGGGGACGAAACTTCTTTGGAGGGCATTACTCCAACGAAATTCACACTGCATACCCGCGAGTATGGGATGGCATTTCAGTTCGAGCTGAGATATGTAGGCGTTACTGGTACGAAAACAAACGCAGAGCGCAAAGCGGCAGTGTAAAATATGTCAGCCGCGCCGACACAGTGGCAGACATGATCGGGAGACTAAATTTCTCGCGTCGTACGGCACGGGTCCACCGTTGTCGGTGTCCCACAAAACATCGGCGAGGTGAAAAACTGTGAAACTTTGTCTCCACGAAATACGACGCATAACTATTGAAGCACTTAATGACGCAGCACAGGCAGCACTTCATGCTGTGAACCCAGCGCAACCGCACCACTCCGACTTCAATGCGTACCAACGTACGCGGCGTGGTTTCGGTTTCGTTTTCTCTGGGGTTCTCACTGCCTACCTTCGGTACAGGCCGCGCGGCGGCGCGCCAGTCGCGTCGCACGGAGTGTATATTTCATACTCTAAAGTGTTCCTTTTTGTATTTATTTGTGCTGCTAATTTTGTGTTCCTTTCATTTTTTTTTTTTTGTGCTGCGGAGTGTTTTTTTTTTTTTTTTTAACAACATGTATTGTAGTTGGTCGCCTGACCCCACATACAAGCAGAATGCTACTTTTGTGGGCCAGTTCTTTATTTTGTATGACTTGATCTTAAAATAAAAGTTGAATTAAATTGAAAATTAAATTGAATTAGCTTTGTACAAGAAAAATGGCCGCATCAACTTGAGAAAGTGAGTATATTTTGGTTATTTTTGTATTTTCTTCGAGATTTAATATTTCTAGTTTGATTTGACCATGGCTTTCTTAATACTCGATCCTGCAGTGGGCCTCGAGGCAAAGAGACATAATCGCTAGCAGTCGACTTCGAATTTAAATGATAAGCGTGCGCGAGCGTGTTCTTGTGCCAAATCGAGTTTGCTTTCGGCAACGTTTCAGCATATCAGGACGTGTTTGGTGTAAACATCATATTTGGTTGATGTAAAACACCGAAGCTTGCCCGCTGAGAACGCATGATTTATTAGAAAACAAGTTACCATGTACGATCGAGGCATTATTTTATTCCCCAAGTATATAAATCTGGTAAACTGAAAGAAAAAAAAACCCAAAATACGCTGGCACATCATTCGTGGTATCCGCACATCATTCCTGGTATCACAACTTTTTTGTTTACTCAAAAGCTACGCCAAGTTGAACGTCCTATGCCTTGCCGCCAACAAGCGGCTTCTCTTAGTGTATCGGTGCTCGGTGGCACCCGAGAGAAATGCGACTGACTCCGTGTCACGGCACACCAAAAAGAATGTTTATTCCTTCGTGCCCGTGCACAAGTCACGGGCCCCACGGCACGCGCGTGCGTACCTCGCTTATAGAAAGCGGGAAGTTCAAAAGAGACTCACGCCACACTTAGTGCGCAGACAGTCGTACAAAATCACTTTTTCTAAATTTCTTTCGCTGAATAGAGCCAACTCCAAGTCATGGTCAAAAAGATCGAGCGCCATTGTTGTCGGAAAGCTCGTCTGTTTCTTAGCAGACGAACATTTTAGAACTTCGCTGTGCCGGGGGCGACACGCCGTGGTGCGCCAGGTTTTGTATTGCGGAAGCGCATCCATTCCAGTAAAAAAACGAGACGAACTATAAGTAGGTATACTATATTTTTGGTTCTCTATATAATTTGGGTGCGATATTTATTTACTTGAGTTTCTGCGATTTGTACAAACACACGCAAATTTGTCTTTTCTCGATGAGGCAGATGCAGGTTTCCGTTGCCAGGGGACGCGACCTGTACCGATCGTCTGCTATTGTCTGCAAATACGGTTCCCCCAAAGCCATTTCAGGGCACACGATCGGTCCACACGCCCGATCCAAGGTATCGATCGTTTTTGTTTATCGATCGTATTTTGTTCCGGTTCCCTAAAACTCTCTAATACGTGAAGGTAAGTTACGGTAGATGACGTATTCAAATAAGTTCACCGATCGTGGTGCCTTTACGCTGCCACAGATACGGTACGCCGCCGACGACGACTCGGCCACTCGGCGGATGAGCGAGATGGCTGCAACGACTGCTGGCGGTAGCTGCCGGGACGCGCGCGGTCGCAACGAGAAAGCGCGTGATCTGTACCGAGGGTTCCCAAAATTCCCAGCTTAAAAAAAAAAAAAAAAAAATTAAGCGTACGCGTTGTGCGATCCAGACTTGCAGGGTTCTCAGAGAAAGTGGGAGGCAGCGATTGCTATATGGAGAGAAAGTGTGCTGATCGAGGTAAATGCACTCGCCCTGCATAGAATAACCGCATATGCTCTGCTTGCCACGTGCACACGCCTTTCCTGTATAAAAAAATTCGAAGTGAATAACCAAAATAAAGCATTGACGAACGCGCGTGCACGATGAAATTTGTTTTAGGTATTTGCTTTGGAAAAGTTATTACTGCTGAGGCCAGCACGTGCGGCGCGTGGAACACCAATCCCTGCATTCTCCTTGACGCTTGGGTAATATAGCTTTATGAGAGAAAGCGACCTTGCAGGTGCCGAGTTTTGAACGAACTGGACGGTTCCTCGACCATTGAGCATTGTGGTCGACCACTGAGCATTGAGCATTGCATACTGGGTACAGTATAATCGCATTGTTTTAAAACATGTTTCCGAAGCCTGGGAAGCAGATGGCACGGAGGGCGATCGCGTTCCTCGTGGAGCGATACGGGGCTGGCACATTCGGACACTTCGGACCGTACATTGCGAATGTACGGCGTTTTCGCCGGCTACTACGTTCTTACGAGGGCATCGAGAGAAACAAGAGACAAACGACGGCGCAAGCTCGACGTGTCGTCGCACCTAAAGCCCCTCTATCCTGGGAAAAGTGGCGCCATTCATCGTTGTGAAAATGCTTGCGACAAGTGCCGCGCGCCACTTCTGGGAAGAACATGGCGCCTGAAATCTAGCTCAGTGCTGCGCTGTGCCGCCATGATCTTTCCAAGAGCTGGCTGTTGCACATGCCTCTTGCATCTACGCAGCTTGCACTTTAATAACATGAAGGGACTGTAGCCACACTTTGCTCTGCATGCCGCCTCACAGCCACAACATGTGCACCTCCCGGAGAAGCGACGGTCATTTCCCGCAGTTCACTCTTGGATCCAACATGGCCACCATGGGAGCACCATTGCGATTCCCTGCACTGCAAGTGGAGCATGTACACATACTTAAGCACTGCACGGCAAGGCTCATAGTTGCTCATGCCTCCAGCTGAGCACAGTTCTTGCCTTCACCACGGCACATAAAGATAGTCTTGAGGCCAATCGGCTTTCTCAACATGGCAGCAACCTCGAAGCAAACGCCGCCTAGGAGTGACCACTAAACAAACCAACACATTTCTTTTTAGTTTTATTTCAAACAGCACGGCACCAATCACACACACTCTTTCTCGCTCTTTCACAATAAAAAAAAAGGAACATTTGCTCGTGCATACCTCAATTTGAAAAAAAAAAAAAAAAAAGAAAGAAAGAAAAACTAACAACAAAGGCGGTGTTTATAAGAAAAACGAAGGTCCAGTTTCGACGCCTCTGGAAACCTGTGAAAGTGCCATCCTCCTGCATCCATCAACTTGGCTCCTCTAGTCTGGATGCATGTGCGTTTGCGAGTGTCTAATCGGAACACATTGTTGCCTGCTACAAACGCGAAACCTCCCTTGCTCCGTTCTTACAAAATGACGGACTCAGCATCCGCCACAATCTAGTTCACACTGGCAACGGAAAGCCGTAACGGTATCGCTGGATGACTCCCGTGACAATGAAGCTTTGAGCAACAAACGGCAGCTTCAATTGCCTCTTGTTCGCGCAGTATTTCACTTAATAACTAACTAAAGTATACAAGCCTTGTTCCATAGACAAAGGGTTAGACCGTTCATAAAGTGCTACCGTGTTACCCATGGCACTTACTGTCGCATTCCAAATTACTGACAACCCAGATAAAATTTAATCAAAATGATTCGGCCTCCACGCATGTAATCTACACCTCGCTATTGAAACATGACAATGACAGACAGAAATCAAATGGGAGGTGTCGGCCGATTGCTTCGAGAGCCTTTTGCTAAACTGCCAATGACCACCACAGAACTTTAGCGACACAAAGGTAACACCGTTTGGCTTGTCCAAGTCTATGCGGAGTGCAAGTTCGTCTGCTTCGTTTGCAGGGGTTGTGCTGACGTCAGAATGCCGAGCTCAGATTGGCTCCAATTGAAGGATAGTAGATAGACCTCGGGGCAGCTTGCTTTGAGGTCTGCCCACTATCCTTCCATCAGCACCAATCAGAGCTCGGTGTTCTGACGTCACCGCAACCCCTGGAAAAAAAAGCAGACAAATTTGCGCTCTGCATAGGCACTGTGCACTTGCTGCCACCCCTTCAGCTGACATCTTTGCAAATTTTGAAGCTGTTATGCGCTAGTTATGATAAAAATTGTTAGTTTCTAGCCAGCAGCATTTACACTAGATGCCAAAGTAACTCCATTCTTGAAATGAGAAACTGACCATACCATTCTTAAAGATGTGATCTGCATTGCATTTCCTGAAATAACACACTAGGCAGTGTCATAGCAGCCAAAGGTGCCGTAGAACTCTTCTTTGGCCATCCTATCAGAGCTATTTTATTCTCTGTTAAAGGTGATCGACTCATTTGAAAGGGTAAGAATTGCAATTTTCAAAAATTAATTATCGTTCCACGAGGTTTAGGACTACAGCAGAAACCACCTCAGTGACTAGCTCACTGTTACAAAATAGTAAGCCGCTCAATCGCGAAATGCTTGCTTTGACACCTAAGATAGACCTCAAACAACTCCAATTAAAAAAAATTAATTTGAAGATGGGGCCTTTGGTTACGCAAAGAGGAATCAAAGTTTTAACAGATGATGAAATCCTTCTTTATCGCGGTTCCCATGCAGAGCACGACATTCGTGAGTGTAGAAATCAACACCAGTCCTCAATGGAGCCCGGGTGCTCTTGCAGCCACACCAATCGCTTCTGAACGCAACCTTGAAGTTCCTTGTCACACTGAGTCTCATCCATGTCAAGAACTGCAACCATCGAACAGCTCCCTTAACTTGAAACAACTGCCCACTTAACATCCCATCCCAGGTCATGCAGTTTAAAAATACTACCTAAATTTTTCCACCCCCAAAAAAGTACCTCAACTGTCTGCAGGAAAACATAAAAAAATAAATAAACCATCAGAAAAAAAAAAGCAACAAAAATCAGCTTTGAAACATTAGACATTCATTCAAACCACGCCTAGCCAAACCCCGTGCAACCACTTCTTTGTTGTTTGTTCCGTACCGCGGGGGGCAGCAGCAGAGAGAGTGTTCTACAACAAACGCACGCACAGGCACGATGCCAGGAAAGACGGCGCCTGCTTTGTCCTGCATACGTTGGGGGCCCGATGTTGGGCCAACACTGCTCGACGTCGGCCACGGCTCGGCCTGGTCAACGGAGGAGGCACTGGTTGGGTAAGGGGGGATGGTTCCCACGGCGATGGTGGCGGCAGCAACGGCAGCGAACGCGACGCACAGTCTTGCTGCCTGTGGCAGAGACCCCCGGGGGTCATTCCTCGGGCCGCACGTGATTGGTTGCCGGCTGCGGGGGTCGGAACGCCGTCGCCAATGGGAAGCGCTCGTGGCAAGATGCCCGAAACTGCGCTAGCTCCACCTCGCAGGCTCCGAGGTCTCCCCGGGTCAGACACTCCAGAGTTCTGAGGCAGTGCTGTGGATGGGACAAAAATGTGACACATGCCAGGCGGTGTCTTCCAAAATTGCACACGGCGACGACACGACTGGCACTCACCTCTATGGTGACTCCTTCTAGGTCATTGTTTAGAGATGTCACCATCTGCAGGGCCTGCTTCTGCTTGGACTTGTCCAGGAAGTACATCATCCGACACCCTTTAAAGAAATCATTGCTACATGTTCATTGCTGCAGCTAGTGCAAATGATGACATCAATATTGCATATGTTGCTCACACATGTTTTTGCCAAAGTTAGTGCCTGCATAAACACTAGGAAGCAACTTCAATCACAACTTTGCGGCGATCAAAACCAGAACGGCAAAAACTGGCAATCCCCTTATGCAAATCGTGCCATGCTTTGCGCAACCATGCGCAGCACCTGTTGGCTAGCCCAGCTTTTTGTCTAGCCTCAGCCTATGAGGTGATTTCACACAGGATGTGTAACATATATCCACAACGCCGGACTGTCCGTGAGAAAGCGCACGTTCACGATTCCGAGAGCCGAACTTTGCCCACAGCACCTCGCTCGGAACAAGAGATAGCCTGTTGACCCGCAGAACAACCCGATGCACGTGTAACGGACGCAAAAAGCCTATTCATGATTTTTTTCACAAATCAACGTTGGATAACTAATCAAGGAAACTTCAGCACCCGGCCACCACTTACACACTCAAGAACCGACACAAGCATAGGCGTAGACTGTGGGGGGAGGTGGGGGGGACATTTGGGCTCGTGCTCCCCCCTAGTGAAATTAAGAAGGGGGGGGACAGAACACCCCCCCCCCCCCCCCTTTCGGCCATGATCTTTACGGAGACACCGTTTACGTGCCATGTAACGAGCTTCTAGTAGCTGACCTGATATTTTGCAGCCACAGGCTTTATTTCTATGTATTAAAGAGAAAAGACTCGCGGCTGCGTGGAATACTGCTTCAAAAGCACAGGGGCCTGGGTTCTACCCCCACAACTTCGCAGCTGGCACAAGCATTTTGTTTTTCAGATTTGCGCTCTCCAGCACATGCGCCGTGGTACCGGCGATGAACACCGTGGTACCGGCGATGAACACGCGGCTACGCTTGCACGCTGATTGACATGACACACAGAGACGGACACATGGCGATACACATACGCTGTAAAATGTACCTAAACTACCAATAATTTCCGATGTAAAAAAATTGCGCAAACCCCCCCCTCGGGAAAATGGAAAGTCTATGCCACTGGACACAAGGGTGACAACAGACCCTTTTCGAAAGAGAGTGCTACCTAGTAGCAGCTGTGCCAACTATCCGAGTCTGGCACAGTTTCATCACACGCTCCGGGCATTTATTAGATACGAGGGTTGCATCGATGTTCGGTTGGAACTCCACTCGGCTCACACACAGAACGAGTACTGCGTCGGCGCTTGGCGAAGACTCTGGTCCAATCACACACTTTGTAAACAAGCAAAGGCAACCACCAATGTCACTTGATGCAGCACTAAAAAGGATCTATCGCACTGCTAGCCAAAATCAAATACAGCAAGACAGACCTGGGTGGTTTGACAGCTACTGCAATAAACCCAAAGATGGGAGCACGAACACAAGAGGAATCCAACCTTGTACCACCCGGAGATGTTAGCAAAATCTAAGCTTTCACTCAGCCCCAAAAACGGGTGTCTCTCTGGGGAAAAAAGCTTAAAGGTTGCATCTCACCTTCCACGAGGTGAGGGAAGGACTTCAAGTAGCGGGCCAGGAACTCCTCGTTGAGCTGCTGCGCCTCCTTCGACTGGTACAGCTCCGCCATCTCCCGCTGGAGCACCGTCACCATTGGGGCAGGGAGTTCCTTCTTCTGGGACACTGCACGCCCGCACACAAGGTTGCTCGCACATGTCTCCCGATCAGGGCATCGCAAGCAGCTAACTTCTCTTGCACTTAAGTGATGCTTTACAAACTTTGCCCACGGCAATGCACCTTGAAATGAAGCAGAACCTCTATAACCGGCACTTTTACATTTGCCAAACGTTAGTTAGATTTCCACGTCTTCAAAGTAATCTTTTCAATGTCCGAAAAGGAGAACTTCTGTCTCGTGGTCTCGTCTGCTGAGCAACTACTGCCGATTGTCTGTAAGTGGAAGTTGTGCTACGTGACTTTTGCTTAGTGGAACTTCTGCTAAGTGGAAGCTCTGCCGTGAAACTAAGGAACCACTGTCAAGCGTTTTGTTGGTAGGAGCTGTGCACAGAAGCTTATGCTAAGGAACTGCTGCTCAGTGTGTGTAAGTGGAAGTTCCACTAAGAAATCGCTTGCAAAAGTGCAACTTCTGCTAAGCGATAGTCCTGGTGTAGAACTTCTGGTAGGGAACTATTGCAAAGTGGAACAGTCCTACCTAATCCACCTGAATTCCGCTTAAAGGGACCCTAGTCATATCCCATTAATATGCACACAAAAACCATCCATAATGCGAGTCGTACATGACAGCGAGATGAAAATTCCCTCCTTAACCTAATTCCTCCCTCCATATAAAGAAATGTGACTGTACCACAGTGCATAACCACCGCAAGTAATGCGAGAAGGCGCTGCCAACGATCCTGCGTTAGCTCGAAGCTTCATCTGCCCCTAGGCGATGCCCAATGCACTGCCTCTATGGCCTCACCCAGGCTGTGGAAGGTGACCATGTGGGCATGCAGGCGTGGGCAGGTGGGGTCCAACCGGAAGGCCCGCTTGATGGACTGCAGCATGAGCAGCAGACGCCCCTTGCGCTGGTAGATCTCAAAGGCCAGCAGGTGCGTCTCGAGGCGCTGGGCCGCCAGCAGCTGCAGGGGCCGCAAGAACTGGATGGCCTGCTCCAGGGGCTCCTCCGTCTGCGTGTCAAGCAACCGTCAGCACCTCCCTCAATATTCACAAAAACAAAATCACTTTTGGGACTTTTTAAGATGCTTGCACATAGGTTCATGAAAGTCAATTACCCAATCAAGTTTTTGAAATACAACACAAACAGAAATAAAGTGCTCTTGAGATGCACAGAGAGTGACTGAAATCAACCAGAGTTTGAACTCAATGTAGCTTAAAACATTGTCGGGCACTGAAATGCTGCTTCTACAGTGCACGGTAATATAGCAACAGGCCATGACGTCCTCCAAAGAATACACAGAGATTAATCCTGTGACCTCTGCTCACTCAGGAATCAATGGAACTTAAAAATAAGTCAGACCCTAAAATGATGCACAATTGCATGGTAATATATCAACAAACCATGATTCCCTTCTGCAAAGTATATTAAAATCGATTTTGCAATCTCTCCACTCCACTCCTCGCCACCCCTCCCCTTTCCTTTTCCTCCTCCTCCTCCTCCCCCCCGGGTAAACTGTGTCAACCGACAACTTTAAAAAAAACTACAAAAGCATAACTTTTTAAATAAAAAAAAAGACTATTAAAAACTAAAAAAAAAAGAAAAAAAAAGGCATAACATTTACCACGGTTGGGCACGCGTCAATAGATAGGACAGAACCCTTGGAATATACACAAATGACTCCTAATTCTGCACCCCCTCTTTCAAAATCGCTAACTTGGAATATCATGTGTCAACGCGCAGCTGACGAGCGCGACATCTCTCGCGCGCCGCTGACACTGCTTGCGGAAGCTACCGACATATCCCGAAAGATGCCGCTCGTGGCGTTGCCGTTGGCCCCAGCAAACGGAGCGCGCGCATCGTGTCGCCATTTGAAACGCAAACGCGCGCGCAGACACGCACACACACGCACATACGCACGCACGTGTGTGCGCGCGTGCGCAAACGTGTGCGGGCGCGCACCCACGTGTGCCTTTTCGGCATTTTCTTCGCGAGCGCACGCGCGGAAAAAAAAAAAAAAATACAGCGGTTTGGAGACAGAAGGATTTATAGTGCGGGATCCATATACTCCGTTTCACACTTAGCGTGCAACGCTGTCAAAGCTACTGGCGCGAGCGCGTGGCTTCATCTATGGCTTTGTTTGCGCGAGAACGCGTGCAAATGATCAACGAGATCAAGCCCCATGCTCGCGCCAAAAGCTTTGCGCACTAAGTATGAAACAGAGTATTAGCGCCGAGATGTTTCGGTTAACGAAAAAATAGTCAGAGTGCAGGCGAGCTGGTGTAAGTTGAACATGATTGTAAACCTGACAAATTGAGACGTTGCCTCCTCTTTTACTACCTTCTGTTGTGTTCTCTTTCTGCCCCAGTCTCAGGTTTACAATTATGTTTCGGTGGCGCCCTCTTATGGTTTCCCTCCGTGACGTCGCGACTGGGATTTGCCTCGCCGTGACGTCACCAGTTGTTATTCTGGCTACTTACCATCGGGTGCAACGACAAGTTCGATGGTGTGTTTAAAAAGCACAGTAAAAGCTAGGAGCCATCGCAATCCGAAACTAACATTGTCAAAGTTGACAATCTGACAGTGCGAGTATTCACTGGACACCATATTTGTGGGTGCTGTTCGGAGCGCATGCTCAGAACGAGCTCACATCAATAGGCCGCTAAGACCGGCACTCTTGATGGTGCGGAATGCCCGTTGCAAAAGAACTCTGGAAGCTCGCCATCAGCACGCGCTCAGCATTCGCGCACACAGCTATGGCCGCCAGTGAATACTCCCTATGCCCATGGTTTGGCCAATCGTGGAAAGCTGACCACAGCGGGTGGGACGTTACCACAGTGGGTAACGTCGAATACATTCGAGTAAAGACGCCAAGTGCAGGGGCTTAGCTAGGAAGGAGGGGAGCTTATGGGGCTTAAGCTTATGGCCCTTGCCGCACTCCAAGTCATGGTCATCCTAGCCACCTCTCTAAATAATAAAAAAAACACAAAAAAAAATCAGTTTACGTTATGGGCCACGTGATCTATTCGCCGTTTGCTCGTCGTCTGCTTTCTGCGCTCAGGGCCGCCAAAGCTCGTCAGCTTCGTTGGCAGACGTTCGAAATGGCACAGAACGAGCTGCAGCCATTTGTGTGTGGTTATTGCGATTTCCTGTTTTCAACGCACGATTCGGCTGTGCACCACATCCAGACCGTGCACCTTCCGCAAGAAAGTATACCCGTTGCTATTATTAGAGCGCGAGCGTAAACACAGGAGCTTCTTCGCATCCTCATCTTCGGCGTTGGAGCGAACTCCGTATTCTTACGTTCAAGGCTGAAGATGTTCGAACGCAGTAGATCACGTAATATATATATTTTTTTTCTCAGAGTGTACGCAATGAGAGGATAACGCTTCTAGAGCAGTGAAGGCTTCGAAGCTATCTTGTATATGATCAGTCCAACAACCCCACCCCGTCTCCCTCTAAAAAAAAAAAAAAAAATTCTACAGCGGTTTGGAAGCTTTCGCTGTGATTGCGTAATCATATACGCAAACGCACTAGATGGCGTAGAAGTAATTTTTTCCCAGAGTTTACGCAATAAGAGGATAACTCTTCTAAAGCAGTGAAGGCTTCGAAGATATCTTGTATATGATCAGCCAACAACCCCACCCCGTCCCCCCTTAGAAGGAAAATGCCTATAGCGGTTTGGAAGTTCTCGCTGTAATTGTGTAATCATATTCACATCAAAGCGAACGTAAGTTACATATCAGCGTTGAGAAAGTCTCCTGTGCTGTACCGCTACACCGCGCCGAAGCGAATTCTAAATCTCCGCAAAACGTAATCGGCGCAGATTACGACGCGTGGAACGTTTAGGACGCCTGGACTAAACTTACAGCTATCGCGCTGATCAATAAGAACACATTTTGGGTGTCTCACCGAAAGCAGTCTGAAAGGTTTCGTGTATAACTGAAAGGAAAACTTTCTAGAGGACTTCCCAATCCTCCTTCGCCTCGTCACTGTCAAAGAAAAACTTGGCGGATCGTTTCTCCGAGCGCTTCCTCCACGGTCAAAAGCGATCCTCGTCTATTTTCCGCCGTCGCTGCCGTTTTCTTCTCGCCGTAGCCCAAGAAGAATCCGCGTAGTATCCGCGGTGATAATTCCGACCGCTCCAAAATCGAGCCGCCGATCGTTTACCCGCCATCTCACGTGGCATTTACCCGTCGACGTAGAAGACAAGGTTACTCGGGTGACATTCGGAACATGGCCCTTGTCCGAACGCGAGCACGGCTTTCTACGCGTGCGCGCACGTGCATCATGCATGCGCAGGTGACGTTGGCCAGCTCGCAATAGCACGTGTTTGCCCTCCAGAAAGGCGGCACGATGGCGGCACCCTCGTCGGAGTGGTTCACGAAAAGCCAAAGAACCCTTCGACCACGTTTTCCTACGTTACGTAGCGATGCGAACGCGAGTCACAGGGAGTGGCTTCGTATATCGCGTGCCAAGGCACCCCTGGAATCACTTCGCTACGCTTCATACGAAGTACGAACGCCTCGGCGACTCACGGTCCAAACTCAGCGTACGCGGACGTAACCTCCCCAACATAACGCAACGTAAGCACACAGCCCCCATTCCTTACATTACGTTACGTAAGCTTACGTACAAGCCACCGGGATATCTGTGCTTCATATCGAGCGTGGCTACCAATTCCAGGAGGTATACCTGGCACGCGACATTCGAGACACGCATGTTTCGGCGACTTAGACGTAACGCAAGAAAACGGTGCTGTGTGCAAAGCTGAACCGAGCTCAACTCCTTACGTTACGTTACGAAGAGCTTCGTGTCCCTGGTTGCCACGGTAACTCACCGTCCTAACATGTCGTCACCGAAACATTCGTGTCTCGAATGTCGCGTGCCAGGCTATCTCCTTGAGTTGGTAGCCACGCCTAATACGAAGCACAGACTTTTCGGTGACTTGTACATAAGCTTTCGTAAAGTAACGTAAGAGAACGGGTCTGTGTGAACCAGCCTTAACAGTCCAGCATAAGATCGAGACAGCCGAGTCAGGCGTGCTAGGGACCTCGGCAAGCGAGAGAAACGCGCACCAAGCCGGGCGGATCAGGTGTCCACAAACGATCACGTCACGCTCCGACCCAGTCTTCTTGGTGGCGATGGCTCAGAGGACCAACGTCAACAACGGACGCTGTCACAAAAGCCCTTTTCAGTGATGCGATTGGCCTAAGCCATTTTGGAGCAGCTTTTGGAGCAGCAAACGTGGTCTTTGGAGCAGCCAAAACAGTGTTTCGGAGCAGCAAAAAGTGTTTTTTGGTGCAAATCTTTTTACAAATTGCTCGCCACAATAATCAAATCATGGTCAAGTTAGAGGACCTGGGAATCTTTCAAGTTGTTAACTGAAATGGCAATGACACAACATGTTTTTGCAATGCTTCAGTTAAATGACATATATATATATATATATGTACCCGCTATAGATAAATAAGAACCAAATTGCACACACTAAATTTATTTGAAAATGACCAGCTTAGCAGTAAATATGAAAGCCTAAATTTCACTGGTTATATAATAAATTGAAGCAGTATCCAACTGATGAAACACCTAACTACTGCAATGCAATACGAAACTGTACACATGAAAAAGGTGCAGTGCGACCGGTGGGTGCTTTTCCTTTTGCTTGTTGAAACTTTCTGCAAGGCTGCTGCACGCCTCGCTTAGCTTTCGGCAAGTAATGCATGTCCACTTTCAATGTCTCCAAAGAGACGTTGAGACATCCCACAAGTGCACAGTGCTGTAGGCGTTGCCGAGCAATTCCAAAACGTCTCCCACCGTTTTACTGGTTCCCGACATGCCAGATTTTCGTCAGAAGCAAGCAAACGTAAAGCAATGGATTGCAAGCGTCCCGGCTGGTACCTCTGTCGTGCAATCATGTTCGCATGCACGTGAGGGCAACTTCGGCAGCTTGCAGTTGCACGCGCTTCGTTATGCGAACGGAGACGGCTGTTCGATCGAAACCGAAACTCTGCCACTCCGCTCCGTCGCCATCTGGTCCCCAAAATTGTATGCAAAATGTAACAATCCAGAATAAAAAAATAAAAAAAGAGAAAAACAGTCCAGCGGCGCGTGCTTGCCAGGCCAGTATGTGAGGCACAAGCTAAGTTAAAAGGTTAAAAAGCGCAAACAAAACAAGAACAATAAAGCTAATAAAAAAAAAAAGAACCTGAGCGCATCAATGCAAGACATCGCGAGTCGGGGTCAAAAAGTTCTTGGAGCGCTTTGTGCAACAACTGAACTCAAGATAAACAAGTGCGCTGTGCGGGTTCAGCGTGCAAGCATTGCCTTTTGTTGCTTTAGTTAACTTGTCTTAAACTTTCTTTTGCGACAGACTCTTCACCTACCGGTGTCCCTCTCAAAAGAAATCCGACCGAGAGAAACCTAGGCAAACAGTACTTCGACACAACAGTCTTTGAGCTAGAGGGATTTTTGTAATACCGTTTAATTTAAACAAGGACAAGATGGCTGATTACCCTGCAGCGGTCCTTACGTTTCATTTTAGAAAGCGCCATATCTGCAGCAATGTGTGGACGGGAACACCCGACGTCATAACCACGGCAACTGGTAGGCAGGGACCAAAGATAGTTTTGCCACGGCCGTTTCTTTCAGAAGCGAGTGCTTCAGATCACAAGTAACTCCCAATGCGCAAAAACGTGATTTCGTTTTACAACATGACGGCATGGCTGGTACGCTTGCATCTATCGTTAAAATATTTTCAAGAGGATGCGAGACGAGACCCACGAGAGCGCGAAATGAGGAACGGCGGGAAAAACCATGCTAGACCGGATGGACGATTGATACAGCCTACTTTCTGTCGGGCGGTCGCTTGCGCCACCTAGCTCACGCATGCTCAGTTACGGTACTCAGTTTAGTTTCGGTTTTGAAAGGCGACCGAAATTGGTCCTTTGGCGCAGGCTTGGCGCAGATTACCCATATTTCGGCGAAATGTAGCAGGATGTAGCAGGGTTAGCCCCTTGGCGCAGATTGGCGCAATTGGCGCAGCAATCACATCACTGCTTTTTCCTCCAGCAAGCCACCGAAACCGAAAAATTGTGCCGAGAACCCGCGAGATGACACCACATTCCGGCCGGGGAATAGAAGGAACTTGCTTTTAGCCAGGAGCTCAACGCGACGTCTGACGCGGGGGACCGACGAAAGAACGTATTGCACGGCCGATTCGTCGGAGTGCTCGATAAAAGTAAGGACAGACAACTACGTTGGAGTCCAACTCCCTACACCACGGAAGCACGTGGCGAGCACGCTGAGGTTCCAGCGCCAACGGGGGCGACCACATGCGAAGTTTTCCAGCCGAAGAGACGATTTGCAATTTTCCCAAGCGCCCCGGCCCGCGCGCGGGGAATTGTGGGAGAAACTCTCCCTCGCCTGGCCGCTCTGCCTTGAGATCGCATTGCCTTGTGGCTTGTCTCCTATTAATTCTCTGTTTTTGATTCTATTACCTATTTGCATCTATTCCAGTGTATTTTTTATTGCTTCTAAGTGTTTCTCTTCTCTTCTGCGCGCGATATGTCTCTATATATAGTATTTGTGTCTTTATTTTGCCTTTTTCGACGGGAGTGCCGACGGACAACACGCCGCTTCGCGCGTCGTTCCCCGGGTGAGAACTATCGTTGCTACCGATTCCTATCGTGCTGTTAGCTGTTCATTTTGGTTCATTTGACCCGCGTGCAGTCGAGAGGAGCCGTTTATTAACACCCGCACATGTCATAGGGGTCAGCAAAGTTCTGAATCAACAATCGCGACGCGAGAGCCGAATTCACTGTGATTTGGCCGCGCGCGCTCGCTCCGTCGACTCGCACTGCAGCGTATGGCCTTCGAGTTCCACTTACTTGACCAAGATACAGCACGCCGCTTTGTCGCCGCGAACCATTTGTCCAAATGCTTGCGAAGCTGAGGCATATGCAACGCTGCGGCGCCTGACAACGGCGCGCTGCAGCGCGATGATCCCTTCGCAAACGCTGACGGCTCAACGTCGCGGCTTGAATGCGCCTATATGGCATGCCTCCGCTGGCTGCTCTCCGAGCGTTTGCCAGAGTGGGCCGTTTATAACGAAAAGTACAGCCACCAGGCTCAAAATACAAACGTGCGATTGTCATTTACGGATATTGTGGATCATATTCAGACTATCTGTGAGCACGACGGGTATGTTGGATCATATTCAGACTATCTGTGAGCACGACGGGTATCTATCAAATTTCGCTGAAGACGCCGTGGGAATCGAACCCCGGAGGCCCGGGTTCGATTCCCACCCGGACGGAAATGTACCAACATTTTTTTTCAAAGCCAATAATTTACTTTGTTTACAGGTACTTCCTTGAGAAAGTTTTCGGAGCCAACGGGAATTTAGGCGACATTTCGCTGCTACAGGGAACGCCCAGCCCATGGGAATTTAGGTGCCGTTTCGCTGCTACAGACAACACCCAGCCAATGGGCATTCAGTTGCCACCTTCACCGGCTTTGCTCTATGAGACAGTTAATGCTTTCGACTTTAAAAAAAAAAAAAAAAAGTGATTGCATCTTTAGTAGGTTACATTTATAATGGGTGCTTAGAAAATGTCGAAAGCGCAACACCTCAGTTGAAACAAAGCCTCTCTCCCCTTTCACTTTTCTCTCCGCTAGTTTATTTGGCCTGTAAATATTATACACTGCAGAAACAACCGCCAACAAATATTATGAAAACCTACACTTGTGTTTTCAAAATGATAACGCTCTTCAGCGGCATCGGAACCAGAGTGAAGTCAAGGACCGCTGCTGCTTCGATCGAGAGCCACACAGGAACTACCTTGACTACCATGTTTATTCAAATATAGCCTCGCCTTTCTTCCCTTCTTTTTCTCGGCGCAACTTTTTTACAATTAAATTAAAAAAAAAAGCTTTGAGTATAATTTCCGAGCCTATTGCGCTCACCCACGTATGCCGCTGCTCGTAGCACTACGGTGCAAGGCGGTGAAGCTCGAAGCGCGCGCGCGCTGGTGAGAGGCGGCAGACGCGAATCACGATAATCAAGTGATCTCATCAGCAGCACAAGACCCTGGTGCCAATCCCGGCAGCTGCCATCCCACCATTTTGCAAGGTTGTCTCGCGACTTTTAGTTTCCGACGTCGCCGACATCGTCAGGAAATTTCGACGACGAATTAATGTGAACTTCGTTCCAGCTTATTTAAAAGCGCCGTCGACCTCTACGAGTTAATAAGACCAACTAGACAGCGTGAGAGCGCGACATCGTGGCATCCGTCCATCTTCATGTACGTTCTTTCATCGACAAAATTAATCGGGTCGTCCACACACAACACATACTGTATGTGTGGTGTGTTCGTGGTGGTATGTGTTAGCGACTGTGCTCTGACCCAAGACGAAACGAACTACACTGTGAGTAGAGACACTGGGAAATACCTATTTGTATCCTCTAACTTCTCCAAATATTAAAGTCGGCCAACAATAAAACCTTTCTTTCATACTTTGCATCGCTTAAGCCCACTCGGCGCATGTGTGGCGCAACTCTTAGCAAAAAATGGTATTGTGGCGCACCGTGTAGCGCACTTTCGTTCACGGCGCAATTCGGCGCAGCACTTCCATCACGAAGTATGATTCCTTTCTTCGCCCTCCTAAGCCCCTTTGCTTCCCCTCCGCAATTTCGTAACTATCACCAGGCGGTGTGGGATCACCGAGGGCCACTAAATGAGCTAGGCTTAGAGTATCGGCGCTCCGTTCCCTGATCTGCTAGTGGGTGCCACCATCTTGGTGAAGAGCAGGCGACACTGTCGATCGTCACAATATATATATAAAAAAAAAAGCGACTTCCTCAGCCTTGGGCATAGTATTAGGAAGCTCAGCTGATATTCTTTTGCTCCATCGTGAACTGTTTTATTATTTCTAGAGGACGGAAAAGTATTTCCTGCGATTTCAGATAAAGCTTCAGGTAACTATTAACCATGATTTTAAGCATAAAGAAAGGCTGAGGTGTCGCTACTCTGAAGCGTCGCCTATTTAGCGATTCTAAGATCACCTACAAAGAGATTTCCCGCCCACGGTGGCCAGACTGGTTTCTAAAGCAATCTGTGGCGTTCTCTTCTTGTAATACTAGGCACGTCGCGAACTTTTGATAACATACGAAGTTCGATCTTGAACTCCGTCAAATTTTATCAGAGATTCGCGACATGCCTAATAGTATTAAAAGCCATGCCTAGTATTACGAGTTTTACATCGGCGACCGCCGCGATCCTAGTGGTGGCGGATGTGACAAGACGCCCGTTTCGCTGCAGCCTCAGAGAGTTCACGTAAGCTTGGGCAGCCAAAGTATAGACACCCCGTGACCACAGCGACATTCGCGTTCCCTCCTGGTTCTTTTTAGAACTTCTACGCACAACCGCCACCACCGCTATGTTCGACAGCACGACACACTCCCGCTTTCGTGACGTCATTCGTCGCCACTTCGGACCCATGTTCGATGCACGGGAGGAATAGGACGCCAAGAGCGCGGACTGTACCCTGGCCAGCTTGTCGGGCAGCAGCTCCTCGTCCCGGAGCGCGTCCACCTCCCCGGCGTCCTGGGCCTGCTGCTGCTGGGCCTGGGTCTGCTGCTGCCTCGACTTGGCGTGCTGGTCGCGCTTCTCCTGCGCCGCCGTCTGCTTCTCCTTCTCCTGCTCGGCGCGCCGACGGGCCTTGCGCTGCTTGCTCTTCAGCTTCTTCAGCTCGCTCGGCGCCATGTTGGCTGGACATGAGAAAAGACAAACGAAAAAAGCACATCAGACAAACACCGCGTGTCACAGTAAAAGCTCTTTCTCGCGTGAGTTGAAACGTGGTGGTGCCAGCGTGCAAATAGCCCTCGACTACTCCCGGTTCTGAACTAGAACGGCGGGTTTCGCGGGATTTGCCAAATAAAATAGGCAACGCTATCTTCTGGAAACGGCCACTTATAGCACCGTCAGACTTCATTCACTCTTAAGATAAAAGAATGACGAGTCAACGATTGAGAAATATACTTGAACCGGAAGTTGTGCCGGGGCTACCAATAGATGGCGCCACCGTGATTGTGGCCAGAAACGGGGCCACGCAAACCCCACAAGCTCGGTCGCAGACGCAATGGGACAGCAAGACAAATCATCATCATCATCGAAACAAAAAAGGGCGAATACATCAACGCGCGGCTCGGACCTTAAGGTTGGTTCGCACATTTGCATTTGATTGTGCCCAGTGTGTTGAGACATCGCGTGACCGCGGGCCCACTGGTGCCATCTGTCGGGCAGCACGGAAACACCTCTGACCCCGCCGTATATATTTCTATATTCTTCTACGGTTTACTTCTTCACCCTGGGTCTGAAATAATTTCGATAATGCTATAAGCTATCGTTTCTCACAGATACTGCGTAGACCTGATCTCTTCAGATACTGCAAAACCTACAGCCTAGTTATGCACAATCTGAAAGCGTTCTCGTCACACTCAAACGCTCTTACGCAGACGCTTCGAGTCTTTCTCGCTTCCGCGCGAGCGCATGCACTGGCCACGCTTGGTCTCGGCAAATGTAGACTTGCTCCTCAGGAGCATATCTGTCAGATCATTCGAGGAAAAGCCGCTTTGTGCCACTCGACCTTCGCAAATGCTAGCCAGGTGCTTCCTGAGCCCCGTTCGTGTTTCACGCTCCAGCCGCCAGGATGCGCCAGCTTCTGTTACACGTGGAGGTGGTCACTTGGAGCCTCCCGCTTCGTCGTCCGACGTCTTTGCCAGTCATTTATACTTCCAGTTCGGGAGATCGTCCTTGCCGTAGATACACACGCGTAGGATAGCCCGTGTTAACATTTCGAGGAAGCTCCATTTTGTGAGAACAAAAATAGTAAACAAAAAACGAATGCAAAGCTCTTCCCTGCGAAAGGGGCTACGTAAGCGAGGCTTTCATCCCAGGACATACAAAGTGGCCGAGCTGCTTCGTTGGCACGCAATATCGACGCCAAGACGCCGATGACTGCGCGCATTACAAAACACAGATTTACGCTCCACTCCTACCAACACCTCCGCACCGAAAAAAAAAAAAAACGAGAGCAACCGATCCGGCGCGCTTTCTCGCGCGTCCGCAAACCGCTCGCATTCCGACCCGTCCAAGCAGACGACAAGTCGTCTCCGGAGCGAAGCACCGCGGACAAACGCACAAGACGCCAGGTCCGACCCGACCTGTCATACGCGGCGTCCGTGACCCGACTCCCGCAAAGACAACAACGGCGTCGTGACGGTACGCCCCCGGTGTGAGCGCGCCGAGCGCGCCAAGGCATCCTCGACCCCGCCGACGACCCGACGGGAAAGATTGGTCCGCGAGTCGATAAACGAAGAGACAGACCAATCAGTCAGACGGGACACGGCCTTAACCCCGTTGGCCGGCGCCATTGAATACACCTTTCGGACGCGCCATCAGCGTTTTCTGATGGGCCCCCTAGATGCCTCGTAATGGGCCCAACTGGCCGCGCCGCGCCACGGGCGCCCCCAAAAGACGTTGGCCCATTACCCGCCCTCCGTTTAATATCGGAGGAGGGCCCTATCGAATTTCCCCCGGGCTTCGGCGGCGGCAGTCGGGCCCATTAGGCCCATTAGTGCGGACGGGCGCGCCCTCTCTCGGGGAGGAGGGGCGGCGACGATTGCCGTCGGAGGGCAGCGGAGCGTCCGTGGTTCGAGGCGTCGCCGAGAGGTGGCGGTAAATGCGACACGGTGAGTCGTCGCGGCGGGGCGCTTAATGCGTCTTTCGTCATACGATAATTGTACAATGTAACCGACGTAGAGAGAAAAGAAACGATGGAAAGGACTATCGGAAAGTGATGAGGCTTCCTTGAGGCTTCCTCGTGAACGCACGACAGGCACCGCAGGAATTCGCCAATCCCAATGCGGCGACGCCACCAAACGGCGAAAGTACGAAACGAACATGTGAGAACCCAATGTCCGGAAAAAACATCGGCCGCCTAGTGACTAAACCGCCAAACAGAGGAACGGCCACAAAGGAAAGCAACACGTTGTGACACAACACCTTCGCAAAAAGATCAGCACCGCTTTTTCTTTCGATCATAAAGATAAGGAAGCTGAGTTATAGAGTCGGCAAGATGCAAATAACACGTCGTAAAGCGCTAACGAAAACAAAACAAAAAAACAACGAACTTTAGTTTACTGAGGCATTTTAAGGGCATTCACGTCTTCAGGCACCAACAACGCACCGGGCCGACACATAGTTATGCCACTAACAAATAAATAAATAAATAAAATAAAAAGCACGGATTAAAAACAATACTAAATAACATACATTTGTCTACTTGGGGATAAAAACAACGATACACAGAAATCCAGACTAATGATCTCTCATCGACACAGCGTGCTCATCCAATTGCGTGTCCCGCACAAGGTGCCGACACCGCCTACTAAAACGGCCGCCCAAGCCACCAGCGAGGGTACGAATACAGCATCCGTCGTCCCATCCAACTGTACTTCGTTTCACCGGTAAAACACCACAAAGAACGGCGTCCTTTCTTTTTTTGGTCCTGTGCAGTTATTTGCAATTTTACCCGAATTTAGTAAGCCTTTAGGAGTTTTATTACTGACTACGTCAACCTCCCACTTCGAGGGATGGGGCAAGTGCCCGACAAATACTGGAGAACAAAGAACTTTAGACCGTCCTGAAGGTCACGTGACATTAAGACGACATTCAATTGGCTTCGATGGCTCCTAACGTCCGCCGCGGTCCATTGTACGGTAAAACACGCGTGGGGCGCCGAGCCAGGCAGGCGGGCACGGCATCGAAGGAGCCAGTCCCGACGCGTCCTCGAAGCGCGCCTTCAAGGACAAGAAACAGCGTCGACGCCGACCGGCCACGAGACAAAGGAGGACCGCTACTCATCCCACAACAGCCGTCGGGAACCTTGCCCAAAAGAAATGGGAGGAAACACGCGAGCTTCGCATGCCTCACCGACTCGGTCTGGGCCGAAGCTTCGAACGACGTTACTGTGCCTAAACACACCCGTTCTTCTCGCAGAAACGCGAACGGCACGCGTTTCTGTGATCGCCGGCGCGCGTTTCCATTTCGGAGCTGCGAAATCGCGAGCAAATTCGCACCACGCGAGTCAGGCTTACATTATCAAACGTTTATGCATTTCATCTATATCTGAAATATAAAATAAACTAAAAGCATATTTTTTTTTTTTTTTTTCCCCGCAAGCATTTACAACTTTCGTGCCGAGGTCGGGCAACATTGTTCCAAAGACGAACCTCTTCGAACTTTACCAACAGTTCAAAAGTTCGCGCCGGTTCGCCAAAAAAATGTTTCTTTCCTTTTTATTTCACGAGAGAAGGTGCCTCGCCGGCCCGCGTTCTTGGCACCATGGACAACGGTGTTGTTCACGATCGGCCAATTAGGGGCACGACGACAAACGCCGGGACGTCCGGTCCGGGTCCAGATGGGGAAATGTCCATTTCACAGACTCGCGGAGGACAAACAGGCCGTCGTAAAGCCGTCACGTTCCAGCGGCTGCTGCTTCCGGCACCGCGTCGATTCGAGGCTTACCGAACAATTAACGGGGTACGGACGCCCGTCTCCAATGCAATACTGAAAAGTAATCGTGGCCTTGTTAAAAAGTTGAATCACCCGGATATCACGGTTGCAACCAATACCGCTAAAGAAAGACACCATCGCCGCTTCAAATGCGAGTCCCACTTCGAATTCCAGTGTGTTTAAATCACGGAAGCTTTAATTAGCTTCTGAATAAGAGTTCGGCGGGGATTCACGCAGTTGACTTTGACTGCGTCGCTTGGAGACCACACGGCAGGGAGTTAAGGCACGTTCACACAGTTGCGTTTGACTGCGTTAAGATTGCTTGCGTGGAACTGTTGCTATGGCAACCCTCGGGACGAGCCAATGGGGAGGCCGCCGTGCTGGCACGACGACGCAACGCAGTCGACGCAACTGCGTGAACCGAGCCTTTAGCCAGACATCCGTGCTTCGCACGAAGCGTGACAGTCAATGCAGAGTGTAGCTCGACACGCGGCGTATAAAGCACGTACATGTCGCGACGAATCGTGCTCGGATTTGCAGTCAGACTCCGATGTGTCGATGAGCCTTTAGTATAGTTCCGAACTGCGGCCCAGCAACGTGTGTACGGAGCAACGCCGTTAACACGACCGAGCAACCGCCCGCTTTTTATTCTTACGTTTTCGTACAAATTCCGTCACCACGTGGTCCAGCTATCACCCCGACGCGGGTATCGTCGGAATTATATATATACCACGTGGTTTCTAACTGGCTCGTGATTGGACCGGACAGCCCGTAGCTTTGGGTGGAGTCCAGGGAAGGGTGAGACAAAGAGGCTGCCCTTTGCCGCTATACTTCGTTTCCCTTTATATTTCTGTTTCCCTCGTATACCAGATTCCTATCCCCGTGGTGATGACATTTTTTTGAAGTCAAATCACTTCGTAAACCTTTACAAAAACAACATTTTTTTTCTTAAGTCAGAGCGCCGTAAAATACGAGGAGACATGCAACCACACACACAACCGCGACGCCACGGTTAAGCTTTTGCGTTTGGTTGGATCAGAAAGCAACAACAGACGCGGAGAATGACGAACGCACGCAGTGACGTTGTGCTTTCAGTGCCGTTCGATTTACACTACCTAGATAAGAGCTTCGTACAAGTAGCAACATTCTTTGAAGCGCCGCCTGCGTGACGGTGCAGATTTTAGGAATGGCG